CACTGTCCAAGGAGAGAGAAAGCGGAAAGAAACAGAGTAATATAAAAAAAGACTTTTTTTTTTTTTTTTTTTAACTCATCAGTTCAGATTAGAGCAGATGCTGAACAGAAAAGAGATTGGGAACTCTGATAGGGCATAGGGCACAGTTAGAGGAAAGTTATTTGCCAAAACCAGCTGAATTTCTAGAGCATATTGAAAAAGGTGCCTTACAATAGGTAGGTAGGATCGAGGCTAGAAAGCCAGACAGAATAGTGCACAGATAAATTTGTGGGAGCTGGAGAGCATTCCCTTGTTGTAGACACCTTTCCCAGGAGCAGCGTAATCTTGTTATGACAGCACTTTGTCAGATGAAGTCAAGCCCAGAAGTCTAAACAGTGCACCAACACACCAACTTTAGGGGTGAGATAATTGAAGTCTACAATCATATCAGCAATCTGTGCCCTCCTCTGGGAACCACCTCGCTCTGAACAGCATCATGCCCTTACCTATCTCCATGCTTGTCTGAGTCATATGGTGCTCTGCATCCTGACCTTGGGTCATTTCAGACAACCCTGAGCCTCAGCTAAGCACCAGGTGACAGCACCTTCTGACAGTTAGCCCAGGCTGTCTGTAAAGACACTGAACACATTGCACAGATCCCAGGTGAAGGAGAGAACTGTAAGGGATTCTGTTCCACAGCTGGTGCACGAAGGGTGCTTCCAGTCATACTTTGCATTTGTAACAAGATTAAAAAGCTAACTGAGGACATTAATTTGCAAATAAACAGGCACAGGACATCCACAACTAGTCACTATCCAGCCATTTCACATGATTCAGCTGGGAGAAATCTGCCTTAAAAAGTTCCCCAACAGCAGTATATCCAGTGTAACATATAAACGCACCTGCAAGTGTATCTGTTGTTCTGGGTGGGATAAGCATAAACTTCTTTGACATTATGCTTCTTTGAGCATGTCTGTCCACCCTCTCCTTCCTTTCTTTTAATGACTACAGAAGACTGTGTCTCTGTAATAGTTCTTCTCCTTTATTGCCCCCTGACAAATAAAGCTGCAACAGACTTAAAGAACAAGTTTCATCACAGTCTTCAGCATCCTCATGTTCATGCCCTAAGGAAAAGTAGCAATACCTTTGGAAATTACTGTAACATCGACAGCCTTGCATTTCAGAGCAATTTTGAGGGGAACTGAGGGATGTGGAATGGATGGGTCAGGCACAAACTCATTCAGCTGTGGCAGCAGCTTGAAAAGGATCCATCTTTTTCCATTCCTTATTCCCACACTCTAAAACAACTACACTGACTCAGATGTTATTGACAGCAATATGAAGAGCAATATTTGGTCCCATGCTGGAGCCCTTTCTAAAGATGCATAGGGTAGAAATAAAGAGTACCTTAGGAAAGAGGCATCTTTTTGCCTTGTCCGTGCACAGTGCCTGACATTCTGTCATGTGCAAACACAATTTTTACTGGCACTTGGATTAATTATTTATTTTTTAGTTTTCAGGGGGTATGTCTGGGTATAAGGAGTGTGGTTTGGATGAGTCAGATTAAGCAGTCTCTCTAATATCCAAATTCCTTTCCAAAGACTACAGTGGAAGGGTTGAAGATTTGAGAAGAGGAATGTCATCTCATGGTAGGAGACAGCATGTCTTGGTGTGCCACGTATGTTGAGAAGGAAGATTAGCTAAAGACAAATATTAAAGTGCCTCCAGTGCTGATCCAAGCTATAAAAGGAAGTCAAACAAATTACTTAGTCAAGCAGGACTGCTCAAAAAGGCAGTCTCATAAATTTGAGGGATCCCCAAATGTGCTCTGAACACTTATTCTGGAGAGAATGAACCAAGGTGTCTGAGTCCAGCTCAGCTCTTTTGCAAAAGTTACATGACTAAAATCTGCCATCACTGCCAAGTTCTGTGCTTCAGACAATACTGTTAATTGCTAACAAAAATTGTCATCCACTTGATCTGCCTGGATCTGCAGCAGATTCCCCAACAATGACTATATTCTTTCACTTTGTATTATCACTCAGACTTCCAATGTGTGTTTCCTGCTGCATTCTGAACATGTGAGTGAAATGGGGCATAATCTTCTTCACTTTTTTCTCTTCTATTTTTCCTGAACAAACTGTTCTCTTCGGTATTATTATTCCAGTCACATATTCACATGACTGTATCCTACCAACTTTCTGTTATGTCAATTAAGTTGTAATTTTGATCTTGCATTAAGTTTTCCAGCTCCTTTAATTATTTTTGACACATTTTACATCAGTATAGAAACATCTAGGCTGAACATCAGTTGATTTGCTTTCTTATTCTTCTTCCTCCAATGACATTTCTTAAAGAAGCATAGAGTTTCTATCTTTTCAGCTTTTTTGTCTAAGCCGCTGTGGGTCACATTTATTTGGATACTCATGTCACCAGCCTGATAGGATGTTTTAGCACATATCTGATCAGATTAGCATATCTATGCTAAAGTTTTTCCTTCTTTCATTGTTAGCTGAAGCCCATTTCTTCTCAGCGGTCCTTCCCATCCCATCATGGAAGTATGTGGTTATGATGAGGAAACTAAGGTCTTCCTTGTAGCACACTGCACAGCCATGGATTCTCTTTCCCATCCTTACATGCATGTACTCATTTGAGATTATCTTTGCCTAGGTAGAAACTGCAGTCATAAGTGCTTCTAGGCCTCTCCATCTTTTCACCCAGGAAGCATCTACATCACAAAAACTACAGTGACCACTTATTGTCAGAGGGCTGCGTGATTCCTGGACACTGAAGTAAACTCTAGGAGAGAGACAATACCTATCTAAGACTCTGTGCAGAATTTGAATGTACCAGGACCCTAGTTCATGAAACACAGTGTAATATTATTAATGATTGATGCTAAAGTGAAGAAAATGATAAAAATCAATTGGAATAGAGATTCAGAAATCTCCTACTCTTACTTTTGTACTCCAGAGGAGGATCACCTATATCAAAACTGCTCATGAATGATAGTTGCCTAACCATACTTTTAAAAATAGCCAGTAATAGGACACTGCAGACTATCACAACCTATCTATTTCAGTACTTCACTCTCCCACCTTCAGTTTTTCTTGTGTCAAACAACTTTCCTCTGCTGCATTTCACTTGTTCTAACCACAATTAATATGGAGAAAAATTTATTCCCTTTTTTGCAAATTGCCTATATCTATACTGATAAAATAAACGGGGCCAGAACACGGGCCCAAACGGTAGACCTTGATTATCTAAGATGTCACATTCCTAAAACAGGACCTCACAGTGTTTGGACATTACCAGATCAGTTGCAGCTATGACATCATGAAAGCTGTAAAAGAGTTTAAAGGCCAGATAACATCTCCAGGACAACAAATAAGCTCTAGTATTGGGTTTGGGGTTTTTTTTAGAAGAATGTACCTTTTATATAGTTAATAATTCCTATCAACTTCCCTTTTTTGGACTAAACAGTGTCAGGCTCAGCCTTTCTTCATAGACTCCAGATCGTTCTCACTGGAACCCATATCATTTTCAACTGACATTCCTGAAACTGGTACCTGAAGTGCAGTTCCCAAAGTGCAATACTCAGCTGCTGCCTCACCAATGCTGTATGAAGATTAACATAATGATTTTCTGTGTACTACAAATAATATTCCTATTTATGCATTCCAGATTGCTTCATAACATTCTCTAAGTACAGTCGGATGAACATAATGAGCTTTAATCGATTTTGTAAATCTCTAACTTATTTAATACTTTTTAATATGTTATTCAAGCATTTACAGCACCACAACCTTTTGCATTTGTTGCTGAAGCTGATTACATTAGCACTGATCGCAGAGAAAAAAAACATTAAATAATTTGGCCACTCTGGGGTAACATTTTGGTAGCACCAGTTGGTGGTCATGGAGAAGCTATCACTTCTACTATTTTTGTACCTATTCTGTGGATCACTGAGAAATTACTTTCTTAAGATCTGTCAGCCTATCCACTTTCAAAAGCACTTATTTTTAGTTTTAGAATTAAATGTTAGACCATTAAGACTTTTTAGGAATTAACTGAGCCTCGTAAACCAATTTATTTGAAAGAAATCCCTAGAAAAACAAATCAATAAAATTAAAATGATGATGATAACTAAACAGTTATTGTTGTCAACTGACCTCCTATCAACTACCTTGTGCCATTGTGGCCCCTGTAACCCATGCTCATTGACCTTGACATATGTTACTTGTTTTTTTGAAGCTTCAGCTGCATAGCTTCTCTATTGACAATGATGCGGTGATACAGGGAGCCAGACTTTACCATTGCCTCTTGCCTTTTGACATGGACTTTGGTATGAAATAAACCCCTGTGTGGTGGTCCACAGCAGAACTCGTAGGCGAGCACGGCTGGGCTGCGATCTGTCAGTGAAACGAAAAGGGAATTACCAGGAGCAACAGACCTTAAGGGTGACTGCATCCATGACTCTGGTGGGGTAATGAAAGAAGTTTGCTGATTTGCAATGTAGCTACTGCTGATTGATAAAGGGATGTGTACAGTAGTCTCAGTCTTATCTCTTTTGCCAGGTTTACACTGGCGTGACACCACTGAATTTAGAGAAGCAGTTCCCTATTTACTTCAGGGCAAAGGCAGAATCAGGTCTGATTTTGCACCACAACCCACACAGATAACCAGCTCTCACTAGAAAACATCTTGGGTATATTTAAGAATACTTCAATATATATAAGCATATTTATAGCCTTTCCCCATTTTCTGAGGATATTTTGGATTTTTCTGGTACCTCTCACTATAAAATATTTCTAAGCTAAATGCAGGACAGATAAATCATAACTCCGGTTTCTTTCGAGCAGGGTAGCCTGCCTAAATCACTGCCACATTCTTCCCATAGTAGTCGTTTAAAATTAATAGCACATGCAGAGGAAAAACTAAACCCTTTGACGTCACTCCTGAAATGAGGAAACATAAACAGAAGAGGCTTCACTCCACCGAGCTGGCAGTGCGGCCGCGGATTGGTCTGCGCTCCCTCGCCCGTGGCGGTTGACAGCAGCTCCCAGCCCCGCACGGCCCTCGCTGCGAACACGGGCAGGCAGACTGCAGCAAGCTCAGCTCTACCCCAGCCCTACACTGGCAGAAAAGTGCACTCTCTTCCTGAGTCTTTTTGCTTCTTAAGGTGGTTTTATTGGCTGGGTTTGGGGACTTGGGGAGGTTTTCTGTTTTTTTTTTTTTTTTCCCCCTTTCCTTTTCCTTTTTTTTTTTTTTTTTTTTCAGTTTTTGTTTGCTGTTGTTACTTAATTCTATTCCTAATCCTGGATGCAGTTACTGGATTCTGCAGTACAAGTCTTCATGAACAAGCTGCACCGCTTAGAGATTTCACGGCATTCAAAGGTCACAGAACTGCCACTATGGTTAAATGTCTTGTTTAATGGTTGAGGTATGTACAGAAAATCTAAAAGAGGCAGCATGATGATTTTTGAAGGGGAACTAAAATTGTGAGGGGGAGAGGGAGATAATACTATTATTTAGTGGAAAAGATTTTTACTGGCGATTGTTACTACAGCAACCGGTTTTTGAATTTCGTCCCTTTTTCTCTTTATTCAAACTAGATGAAAATTTTAACTTATGTTGATTTAACCATTTGATGGCAAAAGAAGATTGCAGAAAGAATCTGTTATTGTAGTCCTTTCTGACCCCACTGAGGAAAGTGTGATTGCTTTTTCTGTGTTTTCCTACTGCTTTGTGGCAGGAGAGGAAACCTGGGACCTGACTGGCTTAGATGAAGGTAGAAGAAAGCAGAAACTCATTCTTATCTTGAGGGGGCTGTGAGTTTGTCTGAGAGTTAGAACATGGAGAGAAAGAGTTGGAAATAAACAGGTCAAGCAGAAAAGAATATCGGCCTCATTTTTATGAGTAGATGTACCACATCTTTTTTTTTTTTTTTTTTACTACATGCTAAGATTGCTTTACTTGGTTTGGGTTCAGAAGTTCAAAATAAAGCAGCAGCCTGCACTTTGACTTACAAGCAGATACTCAGTGGGAAGGGAGGGAGCTGATCATCTTATATCAACATCAGTTTTCAGATAGCTTTTGCTACTTAAACAGAGGAAAGTGGAAATTTGTTTGGAAGTTGAGGTAATGTAGCCTGACGTCTGTTTGATGGCATATAGATTCAATTTATATTCGAGCTGGTGATCTGCCTTGAATGAGTATTGCAGCATTACAGTGGACAGTGTGTGCTGCAGGAAACGAAAGCAACTGCTAGCATAAAACTAACATTGTTTTGAGGAGTGTGTGGTTCTAAAATACAAGAGGAGGAGCCACTTGTCAGAGCTCGTGTGTGTGTATGTGTGTGCATATGAGTGGTCTTAAAAATAATTTCAGCCAACACAGCTGATTTCTGTTGTTAATGGGTTTAATATACAGGTATGCTCAATGACTGGAAATCATCATATTTCTCCAGTTTGTGAAGCAAGACTTTTTACAGCTTAGATGTTGCTGTAGATGTAAACCCTCTGCCATTTGAAAATCTTTTAGTTTAAAAATTATACCCCAAAAAAATAACAAGAGAATGTAATCACACCTACTTCATGCAATGCACCTCAAAGGGTTACAAAAATTAGCTACACTAGACTGAAGCATACTAGCTTAAGGACTGCAAAAATATTAGCTCTGAAATGCAGAGGATGTGATATGTGCTGTGAATGGACAATTGCTATTCTGCAGTGCCTAGTGGGAAAACAAGGACTTTGTGTATTGCAAATGCATAACTGCAGCTCCTCCATTTCCTTTGCTGTATCTTCACTGATGACTGCAGAAACAAAGAGGCTTGCCACAGATAAACTCTTTAGTGTCTCATCTCTTTGGAGATACTTGAGGATATTTTTTTTTATAGCATCCAACAACCCAAAGTCAAGCTTCGTTAGTTGAACTGTTATTCTGTAATCTCCGTGGCATTCTCTCCTCCCGAGCCCTCCCCACAGTCTTCCTACATGAACTGCCAGTAGTTTTCAAAAACTAAAGCACTGTTTCTCTAGCCCCAAGTTAAGAAATGTTAATAAGTATTTGTTAAATGATTAACTAGTAAATTTGACTAAGAAGCCTCAGTCTATAGGGACTGTAGCCTGATCTGTAATGAACAACCCTGTAACTACATGAAGATATCCAAGTTTTCAGAAGACAATCTGTAAGACATTTGTTTATAATAATTTCCTGGATTTAAATTATTCACTTCTTTTGATAAACATTTTTTGGAGAAGTTTAGTTTTTAAGTTCTATAATCTACACTTTGCTGCATCTGTGTTTCGTAGCAACTGCTACTAGAGATACTAATAGTAAACAAGCTGAGTAGACTTCAGCTGAGGAAATTACATTGTTTTTCTACTTTAGTAAGAAAAGTTTATCTGCAGTGTTTTCTCTGAACATTCTCAATCCAGCATCAAGAGCAAAATACATTTTAAGGTTGGCATCTCTGCAGTGGATGAAACACTTAGTGACATTTGCAGGCACACTATCTCAAAAAAAAAAAGTCTGTATTGCAGAAATTTGAAGTGATATGAATGGCTGCTCATTCTGAGTTTATTACCATAGGGTGGACAAGAGTTGTCACCAGTGAAGTTCTAGTGATTCCAGCAGAGTAAGACATACTTTGATGAGTCTGATCCAATATATTGCAGATCACTTTTTAAACTTTGAAATGTTTAATTCTATAAACTAGTATATAAATATACCACTATAACAGCAGCTGTTTCCTCTCCCTTTCTCCCTGTTTCTGTGCTTTTTCCCTTCTGTAACCAAGCCCTCTGCTTGCCCTTACCAGACCTCTAGGTAGCTCATTAAAGCAGACTGGTTTTCCAGTGTCTTCATTGCAGTTATGAAGTATAATTGAAACAATCAATCATACGTAATTCCTTTTCATTCACCCCATGGTTCTTCTGACAATACTTAAAGCATACTTTAATGAGAAACAGTCTGAAAATTAAAATTTTGTGACTTATATATGGTTTTCTTGTAATTTTTCAATCTCAAAGGGAAAAAACTTCTCTTATACTGGTAATTTCCTTTATAGGAGCTGTATGAAGCAGAAACACCTGCTATTAAGCAAGCCATTACTGTCAATAGACTAAAACCTGACACCTCATTATTTAATCTTAAGAAAAGTTTAAGATCTAATCTGTCCTGTAATCAAGTTAGATATATGGCCAAAAGCTCTTGATGCAGTTGTGCTGACAGAAAAACAAGTCATTTGGGGCAGCCAGGAAAACATGAGCATTCTTAGCAACTCACTATTGTTCATCTTTTATCCATTTTTGTGCTTGAAATTATTGCAGTGCTCCATGTGTTTGTCACAGGGTGAAAGTGAAAGGGACAGCTGGGGTCCTACCAGCTGCCAGAACAAAATTAAGTGTTTTGTAACGAAATAATGGCTCAGTATTTCTCCTCCTACATCCATAGATTTGGGAGGAAGATGGGACTCTCTGTGTTGGAATTAAAGCATTCATTTTTCTTGTTGCTCAGCCAGAAAGAAGGGACATCAGTTTTTACACTTTCAGTGAAACACTGGCTTTACATCTAGTGTGAAAATTGCACTTTTCAGTCACGACCTTTAGGATGTAGAACTGATGTTATTTAGAGTTTTTCCCTGGGGGCACTGGGACAGACAGACGTGTACCCTAAGTGTTCAAAGCAGTTCAGAAGTTCCAATGCCTTTTCTTTCTCTGGGCAACACGAGATGCATCTTTTTAGGCAGCTGAAGATGAACAACAGTAGCTGAAAAGCTGGGCCACAAAGCCAAGCATCACATATGCAATCAGAAAAGGGTGGCTGATCACCTTTTTCTGTGATTTCACAGTAAATGAGTGGAAAGCAAAAAATGTGTCTTCTGATGATAGTTGGTATTTGTCAGGTCTGAAGTATTAGGTTTGCATAAATACTGGAGAGAGAGAATATATTTGTGGTATTTAACATAATTTATTTAATTAATTTATAGAAATTTAAAATGCAAAGTCAACTTCTGGAAGATTTTTTAGCAAAAGAATTCTTCAGTATGTTCCTGAAAATTGTTTAGAACACTTTTTAATTTTATTTTTATTATTATCTTTACAACAGTAGCATTCCAAGCAAATTGCATCAGAAAACAATATCTGCATGTCTGAACTTATCATTGCATTAGAAAACAATATCTGAATGCCTGAACTTATAATTTCTCTTTTTCTATAACAGACTGTGGGATTCAGGAGATACATTGCTAGGGTTCACAGTGCTCAGATCTAGGCTAGTGATAGCTATCTGTTTTAAAGCCTCCAGTTTTAAAGTAGAAAATTAACAAATCAGAGCCAGATCAGATAGAAGAGAGAGCAGTTCCAGAAGCCAGACTTCAATGGCAAAACTTTAAGTGAAAAGTTGGGGCAGAGACAATTCTCAAAAAACAAATCAAATGATTTAAGTATTTCTTTTCCACACATTTAATAGTGTGGTATCTGCAGTCCGTCAGTGCTGTAATTTTGATACATATTTTTCACTTGTTCTGTTCTTAGAAACTGAATAAAAAATCATAGCTGTCATTTTATTATATAAACAATGTCGAACTATAGAAATTAAACTAATGAAAAGGCCCTATTGAGTTTGATTTTCTTATTCCGTTCTTCCTCCCAGTGGGAGCTGTGAGTGAGGATGGATGAGAACTCAGTTTAGCTACTTATTTAAGCCACATAGTATCATGGTGGTATATGATATGCTTCTGCTAGCTTACTATCCAGCCAAAAAAGACATCCAGGTTGCCTGGATGGATAAACATAGCTGATGATCTATCCCTCTTAATAGTTGGGGAGGAGCAGTTCAGATTCACCCCATCACACACAGAGACAAATTTGTTATAGTTTAGCTAAAGAATTGCATGCAGATACAAACAGCAAGATTTATTTCTCTTTGAGTTGGTTATTTTAAAAATAAGAGACAAATATTTAGAAGAAGATAGTAGCAGAGGTATTTTTTTTTCCTCAGCTGGTAGGTTTATACTAGTAACCCACAAAAATTCCTGGTATGAGAAAACTCACCAACTAATATCTCACTATGGCATGTGTTAATGCTGACACTGTAAGGTTCTCAAAAGTAGAGAGCACAGAATCTTATGTTAAACTAAGTTTAACTTATTGTCACAGAGGCAGAACACACTTGTGGGGCAACTGCTGTCAGGACCTGTATACAATTTTCTACATGGTTGTAGCAGAGTCTATGATACTAACCCATCTGGATGTAGGAAAGATGTTTTAGAAAGGACGATCATTACCTTTCCAAGAATAAAGTGGGAGGTAGACATGTTTTGACTGAAATATTCAGCAACTCAGAGATGGCTCAGAGAAATATACATCTGTAAAAGTGAAATTAAGAAACCTTAACTTCAGCTAGAGAACTCCTGGAGCTACTGTGTAATTACTT